AAGGCGGAATGGTGTTGTATAGTGTTATTGTATTGTACTGTATTGTATCATTATTGTATGATGACTCAAGCGTATTGTATCGTATAATGACTCAAGTAGAAGCCTTACAGACTGATTTTTACCGATTAGGCAGGTAAAAGTTTTAGTTAACGTTACATTTCCTTTTTGGAATAAAGTCATCATTTCACAATATTTAGGGTCTAATTTGAGATGCTAACTAGATCTGCAGTTTGAGATAAACTTAATTACATTCTTTATCTTTCTTCGATATCGTCAAATAAGCTATTTACAAATTTTTACCTCACAATCCAGCCTATATTTACATTTTAGCCATGCCTATTTTTATTTCATTGTATTTAATTTTTATTTCTATTTTTATTTCATTGTCAACGTCCAGGTAGATTTTAGCTATCACGACTTCAAATTGTATCAGTTTCCAAACGTTAACTTACTTCCGTGTACTGTAAAGCTGTTTTTTTTTTTTAAATTTAAAGTCGCTCAAAACAGGCTACTGTATTGTGATTAACGGAGGCTTTATAGCTATTGGCCTTTGAGTCCTGGTTTAATTACAAAGCTGAAAAAAGATCACATTAAAAATTGTAGCCATTTTATTTCATGTTATCATGATTCGGGGTTTTCCTAATTTGTGGATATAGTCCTCTTTAGGCTTACCATGCAAATACTTGTCGCAAATTCTGCTCGTAGATCACTTTTGAATAGGATTAACACCAAGGGATTTATCGCAGGGTTTAAAATCATAAAAAGCCACGTGACTCTAACGAGAGTCAAGGATACGCTGCACAGGCCGAGATACGTGCAAAATGACGCGTAGAGCGACAAAGACCAACAAAAGAGAAAAATAGTTATCACTGCAATTATTACTCTAACGGAAGATCTCTTCGATCGTCTTCGCTGGAACATTCTCCGAAATTCCTTATTGCTTCTTCTCTCGCTTCTTATTTCCAGACTTGATGAAGGCTCATAGTTAGACAACGGATGAGAATCTACGGTTACATTTGTTTGCCTTTCATTGTCTTCATAAAGTGCCCCGTTTGGTTGCTCGGTGGAATTGTTCCTCATTTCATTGAAGTTTATCCCATGCAATTGAGCTATCGCTCGTTTTGAGTGGAGCCGCGCTAGCCGGATTATCTGTATATTTGCCATCATTAGAAACATGCAGGGAATGGCTACCATGACAATTGTTTCCATAATGGTAAAAATGCGAAACCATTTTGCTCTTGTGGCAGGCTCGGCATAAAGCCAAGAGAAGTGAAGGCCAAAATTCACAAGTGGTATTCCCCAAGAAATCGCCATCGTTTTCACAGCGCCAGTTGTTGTCATGTAACTTGCATACTTCAAAGGATGGACAATGGCAAGATAACGATCTACCGTCATAGCGGACAAGTTAAAGATTGACTCGTACAAAAAGAGCTCTTCAAAGACACTTTTCAGGTAAACATCACACGTTTCTAACTTTTTACACGCAATGTGTAATGGTGTAATGAACAAACCAACCATGAGATCACTCACAGCAAGAGATAAAATAAACCAGTTGGTGGTGTTGTGGAGCTTAGATTTTGTTAAGATCAACCAAATGACAAATCCATTTCCAGCTATTGCTGTGATGCTGACAGTTAAACTGGTGTACATGTACCACGACATCCTCGTCCACTGCTTTCTTTGGTTCAAAGGTCAAAGCTGATCGGTAGCGTCTTTAACACACTTTACAATCGTGAAGTTTGATGAGCTATAAAACTATGGTACTGTCACTGCCGTTTGGGAGCAGTAGCTAGTTCTTGTAATTATGAGTCTTAATGGTTGAGACTGATTTGAATATTGACTTCAAACAATTTTAACTAAGTACACAAAATTTGTCATTTGGTTTAGACACCTGCAAAAACAATTTGACTCTCTGCTTAGCCTACGTAGCAAGCGTACTCGTGTGAAGAGCTTTTCCGCATTCTGGCCGCGCGTAAATTGGAGGGAGTGCACTCCAATTCCAGTACTTTGCTTCGAGTCGACATTAATTAAAAGTAAAGGCCTGCTTCAATCTCGAGTTGACGTTATCACCTTAGATATAACTTGCTCCTGAACTCATTCAATCGTACTGCCCTTAGGCTTCAATCAAGTATTTTTGTTTGTGTTCAATAAGACAGGCATTTATTTGTTCATACCCATCTCATTTATGGCTGTATTGTCAGTTGTCAACTGCGTACCTTAACTTACCCGCGTAAGAATTATTCTCTGCTCTGCTTTTTCTCTGATCGTCACATTTTGTGAAAACGCGTTTTAAAGATAGTATTATTCACTAACTGAAATTGTGTCTTAATTTCTTGGGGATCGCAGTTCATAATCTTTCCAAAATAATCACGAAAACATGTAGTGTGTAATTCCCTAAAACGCCGCAAAGCACTGGTGGACTAAAATTTATGTTAATTTGTCACTAGCTACACTGGTGGATCTCAACCAAACCATATGAGCCGTAAAAACTAAGAAACACATTTCTTGGGCTGGAATTATGTGTAATTTACTATTTGTCGTGTATTATTTCAAAGGAACTTGATGTTATGATTGACAGACAGGTTATTAAGTTTCCAATTATTCCAAAACAGTTTGTTTATCTGCAGCTACATGTAGTTTGCAATTTGCGAAGTACACACCACATAGCGTTGTTTAATAAAGTCGATTTTGGTTTATTTTTTTTTTATTTTTTTGTTGCTCAGTACTTCGCAAAACTTATGTAGTTTCTGTAAGAGATAAACGGTGGAAAAGGCGGAATTCAAGTAACTCGCCGAATGCAACTGAACCGAAAATACGTCAAAATTTTATTGCGGGTATACTTTCAAATGAAAAGTACTTATGCTGAAGCAGAGGTTCCCTTTCGATTCGTCTCTCACCGGGTAGAAGGAGAGAGGAATCTGCGTCTCGCAGGGTAGCGGTTAACTTTCCTTGTTTGCAGTTTTCTCTCGATGCCGATATCTGCCACACCCAATTATCACTTTGAAAGACAAATGTTCCAGATGATGGCTCTGGTTGTTGCATAGGATCAATTAACTGTGATTCATACCACTATTAATATAGAAACTACTACCAACAAACGATATATAATTTGACTCTTTTTTCTTCCAGCTAAAATTTTAAAAATTTCTCTTATTAGCATGCCCAGGAGGGATTTACTTTGGACAAATTTAAGAATTTTAATTATTGGTTTGTCATTCATTGGTTTTGTTTTGCATAATAGTTCTCTTTCGTCAGCACCATTCAAACATTCATATTTTGTTACTTTAACGGTTTTTCAAAAAGTGTGTTTTATAGCAAATTTTGTCACAAAAGCCGTAATTTACAATATTCTTCTTGCTGCATAAGCGACAAAAATGCATGTAATATTTCTTAATGAACTTCTTATCTTTCTTAAGCTCTTCATGACCCAGCGATCCTGAAAACATCTTTCCATAAAAACTGAAACACCCGACTGAGAAGATCAAACCAATTTTACTTTTTCAAGCGTGAAACGCGCCAGCAAGACAGTCTTAAGCTTAAATTTTTAATAAGAAAGAACCTTCTTTAAAGAGATGAACGTTTTTAAACTTACTAAATTATCTTTCCGACTTATTTAAATTTTATTCATATGCCAAGCGTACGGACTTTAAACACAATAAGTAATTTTAATTTCAATGCCTTTTCTGAGAGTTTCTAAGGCTCTTTCAAGAGCCATTATAAGAAAAAAGGTGGAGGATGCTGGTTTGTTATGCAGGTGTCAATCTGTACTAATATACATGCTAACGAAAGCGCCCAGTACACTAATACATTAATCATTCATAGTTGGCCATAGATTTGTGAAGATCACTTGCCTTCACTGATCAAGAATGGCACATGTTCATATTTTATACGAAAAGGCAAGGATTTTTGCGAAATTCTCTGACATCAGTCTTGGGAACAGCTCTATTCCTTTATTGTTTCGTCTGCTCTTAAATCTGGTTGAATGTGGCATTGAAATGGTATAAATTAAACCAGCTAAAGAAAGTGGCTTGCAAGCACATCAAGGAATCGTTCTTAACTTCTTCTGAAAAGTCTGCAATGATGAAAAACGACACTTTTACCAACAATGAATCAAATAACAGTTCGCTGTCACTCTTCTACATCGTTCTTGCACCATTGATAGCGTTCATTGCTGTAGTCGGAAATGCAACAGTGATCATCTTGATTTTGAAAAGGAGGCGACTCCATGTGATGACTAACTATTTTGTGGTATCCCTTGCCGCGGCAGATTTCTTGGTAGGGTTGTTTCTTCCTTCCTTTATCGTCGCGTGTGATTTTTGGTCCGACTGTAAAATCACCACTTATTACATGTTCTTTAACTCGTTTACTTTGGCTTCAATAGCAAATTTATTCGTCATGACAGTGGACCGATATATATCCATTGTCCATCCACTGCGTTATCAGTCTTATGCCACTTCAAGTCGACTTTTTGCTGCCATGTCAGCATCTTGGATCATCCCAGCGCTTTTGTCGTTCACTCCTCTCTTCTGGAAATTTTCAAGCTCAGAAAAAGTCAAGAATACAGCAATTAAAGTTCACGCATTTATTGTTATCACTGCATTTGAGCTAGTACCCACGGTTGTCATGCCAGCAATGTATGCCCACATTTTTCACACCGCAAGAAAACACGCCCGGCAGGTAGCAGCGCACAGAACGCAGCTTCAGTTCAACGACACATGCAGTCAGGTTTTCAGTGAAAGGAGCGGGCTAGAAATAACAACGCCGATGGGAAAGAGAGTTTCTTTACAGCGAAACAAAAGAGAAAGGAAGCCCGACGGTTCGAGTATTGCCGTTTTGGGAGCTGTTATCGGTCTTTTTGTGCTGTGTTGGTCTTTTGATACCGTTATTTCGTTTTGCAGTAAATTAGAATTGTGCGTTATAAGCGATAGCCTTTTTAGGGTATCTGACTTGATGATTTTTGTGAACTCCGCTATAAATCCACTAGTTTACGCCTTTTTGAAGAAGGATATCAAACGAGAACTTAGTGTTACGTTTTGCTGTACCTCAAGTGATTTTGAGTGACTACTATTACTTTAGCTTTCTCAAGGGTTCTCGTTATCCAGTTTAATGAGCGTTTGAAGTTTTCTTACACCTGTCATGAAAACCAACAATCAAACTCTCGACAGACACCTGCACATATCAGTTCCTCTTTTTTATTTTGGTTTTATGGTTGTCTCTGTTACATTTTTTCCCCTTTCTTTAATTTTAAAAGAGAGTGACCCAGATCTCCGTGTGAATATGATACGAAGTTAGTTACCAATTATCAGTAATTAGCTCCAATTCAATCGGAAGAGGAAAACTCCAGCGAGTGACTTATTCTTTTCAAATAGACGAATATATAGACACTTTATATAAATAGTGCCGTTATTAGAATAACAATAATTATACATCCCAAGCCTCGTATTCATGTGAAAAATCCTTTTTCCTTTCATTGACACGAGGCTTAGGATACATAAGGTATTGCTATTTAAATTTAGGCGCCGTTCATACAAAGTGTCTATATTCGTCTATTTTAAAAGAATCAGTGTTACTCGTTTTTTCTGTAGATTGTCCACTTTCAACATTTGTACAATAAAGTAACAAGCATAATGAGAAAAAGAAGAAATTTCGCAACTAAATGCGTCGATACTTCATTACTTAGGCGCAGGCTAAAATTAGTGAGTAAAGAAAATAACTTGTAATTTTGGAAGCCCAGGTGGCCATGAGTTGCATTGTTAAAATAACATGTCGATGTGTGGGACATGGTTGAAATGACATGATCACCACTATTAAGAATAGCAGGTTAAATCAAACCCAAAACTTCTGTTACTTGCTACTAACTTTGCAAAATAAATACACGTTTGACAAAATTTTGCCAATATTCTGATCCCTGGCAATGCATGTGAACTGCATTCTTCCGTATCTCTGTTACGCACAGGCAGAATACCGAAAGCATTAGCACGGTAGATGTGTTTATCATCACTGAAAAAAATCAGTAAACATTGACTTTGATATTTACAAAATAATAATGATCAATGAAATTGTATCGCAACTTTTCGTCGATTCAAACGCTTCATTCATCGTTAAATTTGAAAGAATTCAAACCAGACCATGTTAATAAACCTAACAATAAAATTGTTGGTGTTATCAAGCATGTAGGCTGGTTAATTTTTTAATTAACTTTCAAAGTCGGCTCAAAGTCGAAGATTAAATTGTCAAAGTACGTTTACATGGAAATTATACCGAGGGTGTCGTACACCGCAACACCGCAAAGGAAATTAGCAAGTTAATGCATAGGACCCCGGGGGGTACTCCCAGAAACGTTGGGTGGGGTGTGCGGCCCACTTCCCAAAACTCGTACCCTATTCATGACCCAAATCTGCGATTTTTGCTACCCTATTTATGACCTGGCCAAAAATTCGATACCCTAGTTATGACCGTTACGGCTGGCACAGTTGCCCTAAACATAAATTACGATGGGCTTTTCTTGACGCTCTTATTGATAATGATGAAAAAGTAGCTTCTTCCAAGAAACATATCCAATTCAAAACTAGAGTGCCATACCCTATTTAAGACGAAAATGGCCAAAATCTATACCCTATTTATGACCAAAACGGCTGAAAAACCCTACCCTTTGCGGCCGCACATACCTTTATGGCCCATTTAAGTTAAGGGAGTAACCCCCCGGGCATAGGACTCTGTAGCTGGTAAAATCCATCGCTAGGGCGGAAAATAGTGAAAAAGAAGGAAATAATTGGAACGGAAACGATGGAACGACTTCCAACAAGTAGTCAAAGCAATCGGTAGGTTTTATAATAGAATTCACAACCATTTGGACTACATTACCTATTTTAACTAATGAAGCTGGCTAAGTTCAAATATGACCGGAAACCTGAAAGATTTAATGCTGATTATCTTCAACCGAAAAGCAAATCAGGCAAACCGCATGTTTGGAGAATTGCGTATTACGTGGGTGTACATTTAATTCAAGATTCTTAACTAATTATCGAGTTGAAAAATTGTCTAATATCACGTCAAAAAACACCACAAACACTCGCACAATGTCTCCCTCGATTTATACTGGGTTTCTCGTTTTTGGGGTCTCGGCAAAGAAAATCAGCAATACTTTAATGGCGTCAACGCAGAGTTATATGGTATCATATGGAATTATAGTATTACAATTTTGAAGTAATTTTGCCAAAGTTGTATTATTCTGTTAGCCCATTTATTGCACTTGTCCAAAAAAAAATTAAAGGTTTTGCATACAGAATTATGTTACTATTGTATATTTCATTTTTAAAACAGTGCATTTTAAAGTGTTGGTATATGCTCTTTTATACAACAGAGACTCGTTTTCAGAAAATTCAAGTTCTTCTGATTTCGACTGCCCTAGCGTAAACATTACACTAAACTGCAAACTAATTCAAATGACTGGCGCAATTTGTAGTTCTGCCCGATGAAGGGAGGGCTGGTAAAAAATTGATTGAAAATGTTAGGTATGGTCTGTGGAAACAGTATCGATACGCCTTATAACGTGACTTGAAAACTTTGCTTGCTCTTGCCTTGAGACAAATTTAAACTAATTAAGCTCCACGGATGATTTTTGTTATTAGCATGATTAACGACGAAACTGTACATCTTCCACGTTTCCCTTTTAAAATAAACAAACAAACGAACGAAACACGAAAAAAACAAAAACAAAGAAAAAACAAAGAAAAGCAAAAAAAAAACAAAACAAAAAAAAAGCGAAGCGAAGCCAATTTGTGCTCAACTCTCTCTATATATTTTTCTATTGTACTTATCTTGGTCATTCTATTTGTACGAGAAGAGTTGTACAATTTTTTATCGATACAAAATATGCGAGGATTGCAATAAATATGTACAACACTTTTTTGGTGTACATCATTCAAAGGGAGCTAGCTATAAATTAAAATTACAATTAATGACAATAAAACAAGAATCTGGAATATCGTTCTAATGATTAAAGAAAATCCATCGCGATTGCTCAGAGGATAACTTGTTAAATTTGACTTATGTCAGTTTTCCCGATCTCCAGTTCTGCTATCTAAGGACTCAGCTCACTGACTTGGACGCAGTGTTACGTCTTGCAGCACCTGCTCAAACCTGCCAGTGCATGTTTGTCCGACGGTTACAATTGGCTTATATATATAATTAATTATCAAACAATTTTCTCTGTTATAATGATGAAAGCGAGTCTTGCCAAATAACAGCTCAAGAGAAAGCTACAAACTAATAATATACAAACGCACAAGCAGACATAAAGTTAGAGAAAATCTAGTTGATTCAGGCAGTCCTGTCGATTACTTATTTTTTTCTTTCCCTTTGTACAGAATTAAAATAATCTTCAGTTTGGTAAACAGTATGATTATACTGATTAACAAGAGAATAGATGGACTTGTGGCAAATGAATTTAAGTCATTTAGGCCATTGTCGATTTTACGTGTATTGCTAAACTTAAACACATGCAAAGTGGACTACCGTGACCGTATGTTGATAACTTTTTTTCATCCCTCCTCTCCTTCCGGTGAATTGCAGTTACAGGTGTAACTTCATTCTCAAAAATACAAAAACAAGCAATGGCTGGTAAAATATAATGCTATAGTTTTTTTTTTTTCGAACTTGTTATTCAATTCACTAAAAGCAGCAAAACACAATTACGATGAAAGAACATTTTTTTGACACAGATTTATTAATGCACGTTTGCAAAGTTTGCAATTGGAATTGCACTTAAAAAAATGATCTTAAATCTTTTCGAAGAAACTATTGCTCTGTTGTATTTTCATTTCAGCCGGCTGTCATCTATAAGTTAGTGTCAAAAAGAATATGCTTTTGTACATGTATTCAGTGTTGGCGTAACGAACTGCGCTATCCCCGGGATAGTGATTTATCCTTTGGATAGCGTTACCCACCCTTTGAACTACTGGGGCCTTGAGGTTTTCAGTTGATCGACCAAGAAAACGGATAACTATTCGGCCCGGAGTTGCATGCTGAACACCGTCGATCAATTTGGAGGAAACAAACCCTCTGTACAATGGGACTTAAGCTCGTAAACGATGAAAAATTTGGGAAAATAGCCTAAGTAAAGACCTAACTTTTTTAGATATGATGACATCGTTAACAGCAACGATGGAATCGATAAACAAAACCATACAATAAAAAACTTTACCTGATCACACTGGACACAGAATCGTGTGTTTATTAGACCCTATTACTCGGGCAGTTAGCTTTCTAATCTCGTGTCACTGATAACGTGGGTATTTGGCTCATGTCTATGGCTTTTAGTATCTTTATTTCGTCCACAGCAAATTTCTTCATTCTAACGGAGCTCAGTCTACTTTTCTATTTTTTTCAAAGCATAACTTTTCAACCAATCCCAACTCGCGTATAATCCGAGCTGAGTTATTAGTACAAAATCAAGACTGTGACAGTGTGGTATTACGTTTACGGCACGAAATTTTAGTGCGAAATGCGATAAAGTGTTTAAAGTTTTCAAAAAAGCACTGTTAGTACGGATTATGCAATTTGGCTCTGCAAACTCGAGCTGTAGCTTCTGGAAGAACGAAACATTTGACATATCTACCCATTACAGGCACTTGTTCTCGATTATCACATCTGTGCATATTTTGCAGCTACAGGGCTCATCAGCACTCGCTTTGCAGTGACAAAATCTCTTCTGGAACTTTGCTTCCCTTTTGTAACCACGACCACAACACATAAAGGTGCAATCATCTTCCTTGAGAGTGTTCCGTTGGCACTGTCGACCGCGTGTTCCTGGAATGCTGTATTGATCTTGACGGTAGCAGTAAGACGGGGATTGGCTGAAGTAAACAAGAGACGACTTCTTTGGTTTTTTGCTTTTAGGTCGACCATGGTTCCTCGAGCTCCCAACGGTTCTTAGATAATATGACTTTTTTCTATCTCTTCTTGTGGCAATGACCCTGGTAGCTTTGTAATACTTTGCTTTGATAATACGGCTGATCTTTTGAAGTGGTGGTAAAATAAGTTGACAGGACTTTATTCTTCCTGATGTGCCCACGGTGCATTTGACAAGTCTATTTTCTTTCAATACCTGTTCAAAAAGGAAAAGGGATATTTCACAAAACTGATTGAACCAATTTGCCAGCGGACGCTCATCAGTAAGGAAATCCTCCTGCCCAGGACAATTGCTTTTGTTATTAGATGACTGAGCATGGCATACGTGCAGCTCTTCCGTTTTACTCACTTAGACACAGGTAAGGTTGAAGTTTTCCGGGAGCTGGTGTTTCTATAAACTCGCTTACTATCTTGCAATGGAAAAATAAAACACCAAATAAATGGAAAAATAAAACACCAAGATATATTATGAGCTAAAAAGGGGAAAAATAGTAAATGATTCTCAATCACATAGAAAAGCGATCTAGTGTCATCATGAAACAAGACTGAAAAACATTTCCTACATAACTGGTGAATTAGTTGCATAACTGTGTTTACCTCGAGTCCCACTCTGACATTTTGCTTCATTATTGTATTTATCTTACTGTTGTTGCCTCTTCCGCTCAACATGAACCGCTCAGCTGAGTAAGTTCCATAACGAATATTTACACTGCAACCTCGCCATTTTAAGGATTGACCATGAAAGGGTCTTTTAGCTCCCTCGCAACTGCATTCCGTTACATCTTTTGATGTACAGGCCTTCGCTATGCTTAACGCTATTGCGGCTGAAAGTAATGCAGTAGTAAAAGCGGCTTCTTTAGTTCCATCTGGGGAGAAAAATAATTTAAATATGCAGGCATTAATTCAGCTGAGAGTGTTCTTCGATTTGCTAATGGCCTATTCACACAATCCAAGCATGTCATTTTTGCGATGCTGTGTGAAGAGGCTAGGTTAAATTAGCGTATAAAAGGGATAAACGTCCTTAAGGCGAAACACTCCTGAAGAACCAAACTAATAAAAATTTAGAAACAACAGGCGCTTTCTATTCAATGGAAAAACTCTGGTTTGAATTTCCGGAAATTTCCAGCGACAAATGGGATAGCATTTTCCAGAATTTCCGGGAAAAAAAGAGAACCTCGCGAGGTGTACCCAAATTTTCCGAAATTTCTGCCGGAAATTTTCCTTCCATTTGATTTTCCTCCAGGAATTTCCGGAATTTTCGGTTGAATGGTTCGCTTATCGGAAATTCAACAATTTCAAATTCAGGTAATTTCGGAACAACTTGTCCCCGTTAAGAAATGTTTGAAATATTTGATTGAATGGAAAGCTTCCTACTACAAAGATAACGACAACGACAACAAAACAGAAAGATCTGCCAGCAAATAAATTAGATTATTTGCATCACGAAAATTTTTACGTCGTAGAGAGAAACCTCGTGAAACTAAAAATGATTAGAAAATTCCATTGGCATCACGATTGCCACTAAAACATGACCTGTTTGGCGGGCCTAATTTCGTCTGGAACAGGTTCATTACGTTAAAAAGGCTCATGCGAAATTTCCCAAGAGAAATTGACAAAAGAAAAGCAGCTTAGTTCTTAACGCGACAATAGCCACTTTGTTCAAAGAACTAGTGTAAATAAACAGGGGGACTTCTGGGCCTCCATCTTGGTTTTGTAGCCGTCTCATTGCGAAGTGTGACTGGAAATGTATATGGCAATCGTTGCTAGCATCATGGATTACATTTTGCCTCTTGAGCATGCAACTATTGCGTAGTCATCACGTTAGATATGAATTGACCCCAAACATGTGTTTCTAGTGACATGTGTTTCTAGTGAAAGTTCTTGCTCTTTGGGTGAAAAAGTGATTGAAAGAAATATTGACCTAAAAAAACTTTCAAATATTTGGGTGCAAAAGCCCTAATGAGCTATACCTTCTCTGTAAAATTTCCACCCCTCGAACGAACACACGACCGCAACAAAATGAAGATTTTTACCCCATATGCTTTGAAGCTCCTAACGTGATCATTGGCCTGATTATGTGCAATTACTGTTGATTTAAACTAATTTCCCCAGACAGTAAAACTCTGGTCTTTGGGCTATGATCCCAACCTAATTGTATTTGTCAACCTAGCCCTCCTACACAGCCAAAATAACTCCTTAATAACCTTTTAGCTGTCTACAATAACAAGCGTTGGAGTTAACAATAACAAGATACTGTTGTTTTCGACAAAACCCACACTGTTTTGATATTGCTGCCTACCCGGTGCTCGCCGTACAAGATTCTTCCGGTCAAGCAAGCTGCAGTTCCATCTATTCCATTGAAATTCTCGTTCGCATTCTTGCAATCCTTTCTCGATTCCTTTCTTTATTGCAGTTTGAAGTCCAGGGACTCTAAGGCAAAGTTTTCTTTGACTAGAAGTGAGTCCTGGAGCTTTCAGACACCATGGATTAATACGAGCTGGCCTCTTTGCTGTGCTGTCGCTGCTGTGAGTAACAACAAAATACGCGTTAATTCGTGACTTCGTCGGGTAGATTCTCCTTTGTTATGCTCCGTTGGCCAACATACTTTCCGTGCCATTATGGAGCCCTGAGCTAAATATGGTTTCCCACCATGAATAAACATAATTCCCGTGATCTTCCATCAGTTGTTCTATTTCCACCCCAATCAAAGGAGGGCTTACGTTTGGAAGGGCACTTAGCTTTTTCACAAATACAATAATAAGCATTTGATTTACCTCGATCAACTTCAGGTTGAAATTAGCTAAATTTAAAGTAAGGGATTGATTCAGGAGCAAAAAGCATTTAAAAATGCATTCATATGTTAAGCATGAATTTAACCCCCAGATTGCTAGACTTTTCTGAGTCGAAAAAACATGATTACATTTCTGTCGACGAAATCCTCCTGAATGGACATTCTGCTGTCCGAGTGAGCACGAACTTTGGGTCTGCGGACAAACTGTTTTGCTTTTGAACCTTTAAGAAACATCATTGTCTAGAGTAAATCTTGTAAACACTGGCACTATTGAGTTTGGACTAAGTATGTCTTCAAAAAAGTGGCCGTAGCTGTAAATGTGCATTGTTCCCCCTAAGCCAACAAGTTGACCTGGTGATCATGTAATTAACGAGTCGACAAAATCTCAAGTCTCGATAGTGTTTAGGTCAAGCATATATAGATTCTTAAACAAATTATCACTGTCAGTTTCATTATCTTGCCCTTTCTTGTGAATTTCTCGACAGCGTTGACAGATTTGGCTGAATCAATTTTGCCACTCTCGCACTCAAACAACCAATTTCGCTACAACGTGTCTTTTGTGCTGAAAGAACCACTTTCAAAGCAGCTGGTTTCGCTTAAATGGAGACATATCCACAATCATGAGGATTAAAGGCTGAGTCAATCATCCGTAAACATGCATGTACTTATTTGTCTGTGATGCTGAGTAACGTCGGCCGTGTTGCCTGAAATGCCATTTTCAAAATTTCACCTAGATAGCTGAGGACAAGGTGTCTCTGTGTTGACAACTAGGCTCTCAAATTAGCACTCCTCGAAAGACGCACATTCCGCTCACTTCTACACTAATTTTGCCACGCAAAGTGAATCAGTTTCGATTAATCTTGACAAGACTTAACCTAATTTACAAAATCCGGAAAGAGACTATTCTTCTTGTGCTTCAATTGGTCCTTGAAGAAAAACGTCTTTGGGTGAATTTTTAATGAAAATCCTAATGGGTGAAAATCTTTTCGGATTTTCACGTCATGAGATACAACTTGCACTCACCCATCATTCTCAAAGTCGAACTGACGACTCACCTCCAAAGCAAAAATACAAACACGATCACCTCCACGAGCAGCTTCATCGTGTTTCTTCCAGCCCTTCACTGTTATGGCTTGCACCTTTGAAGATCGAGAGACACAGGTCGTTTATGGTAATGCTGATCCGTTGCTGCAGCGAGTATCACTAACCTGTCTTGGGAAACAAGAGTCTTATACACAGCTTGACAAAGAGAAAATCTGAATTCCACGACTTTTTAGGGAATGTTTCGAATTCCTGGTCGTATTTTGTCGTGGAATAAGAAAAACGACTTACAATTCTTAACAATACCAAGTTGTCTGAGGTAGTGTTTTCCTCGGAATTAATGATAAGTTGGCTGCAGTTGGCAAAGCCTCCGTTGCTTCTCGGCTGATCCGCATTTGTTTACCCAGACAGGGCTCAAAGAAGATATTGTCTTTTTTCGGATTACATGGCACGGCGAAGAAGGCCCAGTACAAATCTGTTTATTTACCTACAAAGGCAGCCCTTTTACAAAATCGACCCAAGTAAGCTTATACTAGACAGCACTACAGGCGCTAACCTTGCACGGCGAGAAGACGCCTTAGAACATTCCTGAAAATACCTTACCCGCTGTTCATTACGGTACTGTTTTCATGGTTTAAATTTGCTTTCCTACTTTTAACCAAATTAACCATGTTAAGAATCCTATCGAGTTTTCGTAGTTTTCACAATTTGCTTAAAATGATACTTTGTTAAAGACCGTTAAACTCGAAAAACATCCGTGATAAATGACTTTAATATCAACCAACACAGAAAGGTTGTAATGGTGCCCCCTGCCCCCCCTCACCCTCCCGAAAAGAAAAAAAACTGGTCACCTCTCCTGAAAAAAAATCACGAGGAAACAAGTGTACTGATAAAGTTTAAGTCACTTAATTTGCTTGAAGTTAGGTCTCACTAAGTAAAATATTAAACCGCTTTTAGAATTTTTATCCAGGGGCGAATAGCTTAGAAAGACCTTTGCTTAGAAAGACCCTCGCTTAGCTGCATATGTCAGAAGAGATTATTCTTGTGTTTCTCTTGGGAACGTAATCAAAGACGTTTATAAATAATGAATAATGATTGCAACACATCGAATACGTGATGTTTGATGTTTTTTTATTGTGTGCTAATCCCTTCTTTCGTTATAACTATATATTATGTATGACCTGTCTAAGCTGCAATGGCTACCGAGAATTGAATGAAACAATGTTTATATCCTGGTTTTATGTTACTTTTATAATGAATCGAAGGCGACGACAAGTCATGCGGAAGATCACGGATGCACGGCTTTTCATTCAGTAGAGATTTGATTAATTTGTTTCTGTCGTTGTCGACATTGTTTAATATCGTTATTGTAGTCGCAATCTTGCTGTTTCACGTTGCATTTTCACGATGACAGTCTTTCGTATATAATGTAAAATAAAGTAAATACAGGTCGTATAAATTTAATTTCATAATTAAGTAAAAAAAAAATTGGAATATGGATTTGCGCAGAAGGATCAAGCTAAAATAAAAGGAGGTGGCTAATGGTAAACAGTCTACATCAGGACCTTGGTTTTCATCGCACACATTTTAAGACTGCCGTATTTAGGGCGTCAATTCAATCAGCAGATTTTCGATCCGTTTCGGGTCAGTGTATTAGACTACAATGCAAGCCAAATAAGCATGCTAATCAATAGTTCTAAAGTTTTAGATAATGTAAAGGCCGAGTATTGTTTCTCAGTTTTATTTGATGAAGTCATAGCAAATAGTTTTTGTACGATTTCTAGCACAGTAAACATAAAATCAAAGAATTGAATCTCCTGACTAAGTCTTTGCTCCGCTTCGGTTTGAGACATTTCATGAGAGCGGGCTTTTTAATCAAATCACATTAATATTAAATTGCTATTAAATTACTAAATTGCTATTATTTATCTAGTGCGTTTTCAGTTTTAAAAAATGACTCTGACAGGAGTAATACGTCTTATCTCTCTGCGTCTACACGTAGTGGTGAGAAAAAAATTGGAAACATCAGCTGCTTCGACAAGCATCTTTTCTGTTATCAAAATTCTCGATGTCGAATTCTACAGTCGCTAAAAAAAACAAGATTACACCTAAATGTCCAGTACTCAGGCTCCTAACAATGCTAAATAAATATAGTTTTAAAGCTTTTTTCTAACTTGGGTTTCCTAGATTATTCAGCTTACCCATCAGGTATATCAGCTGTACACAGTGCCAACATTGAAAACAACTTGGAGAAGGCGTGCCGGCTGACAAGACGAACTGCTATGACGTCAGAAACTACAGTCCGAGGCTACTCAGTGCTGCTGTGAGCGCCCATTCACCGTGGTAAGACTAAACCCTCTGATCTAAGCGGCGGTAACCTCATTTTCGCATTTGAACAACCTTCTCAGTTCCGTTCGAACATCCTTCTTGAGTAGGGCGTACACAAGAAAATTAACAGCGCAGTTTACATGAACCATAAGTATGGAAGCGATACTTAAATTTAAAGATGGAGAACATAGTTTGAAACTTGAACAGAGGGATACATATATGTTAATAAAATAGCAAGCTACAAACAGTGATATGATTGCCCCTAGAATTTTAGCAGAGAGACGTTCTTGCTCGTTTCTGTAAGCTATGCGAGAGGACGTGTTGAACGATAACTGCGCTCTTAGAGATGCTACGTGTCGAGAATGCCTCCGAATGATTATCAAAATCTTTACGTAAATCACCAAGAGCAGAAGGCAAGAGAACACTCCAAACCATACATCTATTACGACTCCATAATAGGTATCCACTTTGGCCTTTAAATCATCATCATACAACCATGAAAGGCGAATGGATGTAGCGAGCAGTGATGTGATCCATGGTAAAGATATCACGATTAGCGTTCGCTTGGTTGTCATACGAGTTATATACTCAAAAGGGCACACGATGGCATTATAGCGGTCGTAGGTCATTGCCCACAAGTTTAAAGTCGATGCGTACAACAAGAAGTTGTAGAAGAAAAGCTCAAGGCGCCAGTCGCACCTCGCCCAGTAGGAGCAGGTTAATCCAGTTGGTGTGATTGCGAGCCCAACACAAAAGTCTGATACGGCGAGAGATAACACAAACCAGTTACAAGTCACTTGAAGACTCTTCCTTGCCGTTATTAAGAAAATAACAAATCCATTGCCCAAAACGGTGACGACGGAGATAATTATCCTTAAAGACCAGTACCATGTTATCTGGGGTTCAAGTGAAAAGTGGTTTTGTAATGGTTGGCTCCTTATTACCGTTGTGTTATTCATCGCACTTGAAATTGTTATCAGTGTTCATGGAAGCAACTTTCAGATTCAGTTCTCCCGTTGCTTATTCTTCTTCTTTTGTGCCGTTTCCTTTTTGCTTGAAAGCAGTTATATTATGATAGAGCCTCCACCAAAATATATGAAGGCCAACATGAAATATCGATTCTTTTAAGAGAGTCCATTCACAAAGTAGCGGGACACGGAAAAACTGAATTCAACAGAATACACACCACTCAGCCCTCGTCTTTTTCTATCCTATTTTTAACTGAGCAAGTTTTCAACACCGTCAATTGCTCCAGCGTCTGTCTGGTTCAAGCCTTCCACAGATAATCTTATATCGAGCAATAAATGACAATTTTCGTGAGTAAATAATATCGACGACACATTCAAACTATTGTGCAAGCTTGTTAAAGCATCAATTTAACTTACCTGTTTTGAGTATCGTGTCCACCCCAAAAAAGCGAGTAATCTCCCCGAGTAGGCATGAAAAGGATCAGAATGGCGCGCAGTATTTTTTCCAATTAAACTCGTCGACAATAGGTTGCATTAAAGAACAATTTACTGCGAAGTTCCTCTTCTGAAATAAGATTGTGGTAATTTGCATGAAGACGAGCAGAGTAATAAGACACTGAACTAAAATGTTTACTTTTTGTATAAATTGCGTCTATGAACAAAAAGCTAATTAAAGAGTAAAAAATATTAATTGTAAAAAAAAAAAAATAATAAAAATAATAATAATAATAATAAAGAAAAACTCAGAACGACGACGACAACAGCATAAAAACTGAAATGCTTTCCAGGTTACAATGGGAGGCAACAGTTGCTACTTAGCATGCTTTTGAATCGTACACAGGCTAAAGGAAAAAAAAAACGACTTACTATTTCTCAAATGCTGAAGAAGTGGAGACTGTTTTGCAGCATTTGTTTGCTTTATGAAGAAGGAGTCATGAGGGGGCCCAAAACACTTAGCAAATATGATATATTATTATGCTTCTTTCCGTCATTTAGACGTCAGCCTTTTCCAATGTCAGTAAATTCGACATGACGAATTAAAATTGATGTTTATATTTATTTTAGAAAACTTAAAATAAAAAGGTAATAAAATGAAAGCAAGGCACTAAGTACAATAGAGAAAATACACTAAACCAGTCGAAGTCGTTACATTGAATTATCAAACCTAAATCGTCTTCGCCTAAATGTTATTATGGTCATATACTGTTTAATAATATCCTATAGATAAAGATTTTATACCCCTCATTACCTGCTTTATTCCAACGAAGTCTCACATAATTACTGGGAGGGCAACTTTTATGTTGATAACTTCATGGAGTTTATGGCTGGTGTCAAGTTCACAGGCGACAAATGACGATTAGGGGTCGAATATGAAAAGTCTAAATTGCTTTATTGCTTTCTTCCTTAATTAATCATTTCCAGTGGTTAATTTTATTTACAATTATTATTTGGTATTATTCCACTCCTTATAATTATTATTATTATTATTATTATTATTATTATTATTATTATAATCATCATTATTATTATTATATGACGGAGAAAATTACTTCATTGTGCATTGACTGATGAGAGCAGTTCAATTTATCGTTAATTTATAATTTCGCGTTAGCCCAAATTATTGCAAGCGCGTTTGTAACTTTCTCATTCAGATAATAAATGAGTAATCGTATGAAAACTCTAAGAATTAAGGATTTACACTACCCGTGATATTTGAAAACTCTTTCAAATTGCACTCGCTTTAAGGCTCGTGCAGTTGTGGGAGAACTTCAAAAAATCGGCTCGTGGTGTAAGTCCGGAATTGCTCTCCCATACATACGATAGCCCACACTAATTTTTGAACGTACTGTAGAATTTTTTTCCGGTAAAAAATAAATTATTGTTCTTGCTGTAATTTTAGTAACAATAATAACAAAAGCAATAACAACATAACAGACACGAAAGCCTTCATACCAGTCTTCCAGTCTGCCTGATGGAGTGAGAAGTGCGCAAACAACAAGAGCACTAATGTCAACAACAACAACAACAAAACAAACGGGCGAAATAAAAAAACAAACAAACAAAAAAGACCTGAATGGGGTAGCAACGCTGTTTGATTTTTCCTCGTATATGTTTCTTTGTACATTGATAATATCAGCAGATCATCCAGGGAAAACTCCAGTATTGTGACTTACGTTGATTGTGGTTGTTTTTATAAATGCAAATAAAACAATTTCCGTGAAAATAATTGAGTCTGTTACAAGTACTCCTTATTTATATCTGTTTTGCCTATTTTGCATTTTTTTTCAAGATGTTCTGCTTTCGATTATTCCCATACCGCTTCAGTTGTGTGTTTTAGGTGCCGCACGGTTTGATTACATGTTAACATGAATACTTAAAGCATGTCTTGTTCGGCATGTTTTAAGCGAATCAAAAAATAGTAATATATAACGTTAACCGGATCAGAAGGTGGCTAAAGCGGCCAATCAGTCTTTATTCTTCAGGTCAAAGAAACATTAATTAAAATTTAATGAAAGCAATTTTGTATTTAACGGAAAAAAGCTTTTGGTTTGTTCCCTTTCCGTTCAAATAGTCTTGACAGCTAAAAATGTGTAAAGTGCTACGTTTAATTTAACTGAATATGCTTCACTGCAGGCAGCTGTCTGGAGTAATAACAACATGTTTACTGCATGCTGGATTATTATATTTCTGGCTAATATTCTTCACGCTGAATATTTGTAAAAAATAGTCAAAAAGCCAAAGTTCATTCTTGGACTGGATAGACTGTCAGTTGCAGGTGAGTGAATAAGAGAGATTGTCAAGACTAGTGCTGCTTTAGAAAGTCCTTACCGGTCGATAGCAGTCTACTCATGTATTCAGTATTGTCTTCGATAACAAAAACCGATTTTGACAAGTAAGTATAATGATATGGCTTCCCGGAACGATCCTGTTATTATCGAAACCCTTTGTTCGACTTCATTAATAGGTTTGGCTGAAGTAAAAAAAAAAAAAAATACACAACGACATGGAACTTTTGCCAAACATTTATGTTTTCCTCATTTGGATATGAGTTAGTCTTTCGCCGCCCTTTTGAGGCCGGTTTATCTCCAGGTGAATTGTGGATATTCCAATCATTCAATTTTCCTTTAAGACCCTAAGGTGTTATTTCTTAGCTTCATTTTCCAGAGGTTCCATCACCTAGCGACAAAACAGAGAAGTTGAAATAAAAAGATTGTTTACTTTTCTCGATCGCCGTCAGTTAAAATAGGATTAAAATGCACAGAGGTTCACCGGAGGCCGCAAAAATGTGCAAAAAATGCGAAAATGTGATTTATGCCTTTTAAATAGTACAGTGTATCTGAATTTGCAGGTTATTCCTATGAATGGGGAAAGGAAACCTTTATTTATATTTATACAACGATTGAAGGCAAAAATAAAATACGAGTCTTAAGTTCAAACATCGGCTAGTCAGGTACAGCTGAAGTAACGTAGCAAAATAAAAAAGCAAACAGTTACAAACAGATGTCTTGCAAAAGAATAAGAAAGGAAATTGTAATTTTAGAGTGACAGTTGCTTGTCAGGTGAATCAAACGTATCATGGCGAGACTTTCAATTTTTCTAAATGTTTTATTTCATTTTATTTTGTAAGAAACAGTTTGTTAGTTTGTAACTGATATAACATTAAACGCATTTGTTCGTTCACATGAAATTTGCTTTAGGGAAATTTCAATTATTAGTATTTACTGGGAACCAAAATGGTTCCCGGTACCAGTTTCCGAGAACAAATGATATCAAGAGAAGTGTCCTTTCAAAGGATCGTAAATTGCTCAGTTCTGGTTGTTGCCTTCCGTGACCGTGACCCAGGGGGAACTCCCATATAAAAAGGACGGGGGTTCTCGTCGTATCTTTCAGGGGTTAAAAAAGCGGTTTTAGTACCTCTTAGGGTGTTCAGCCTCAAAAGCTCCTCAGCGGAAGCTTTCGCGGTACCTTTTAGGGTATTGAGCCGAAAAAATATGGCAGGAGATAATGTTTTGCTTTAGAATTGGTATCTCTTAGGGGTAAAAAAAATTTCAAGCCACGCCCACAAAACAGGATCTTGGTACCTCTAGGGTTTTTTTTTCCAGAATTTCCGACGAGCACCCTCGTCCTTTTATGTAAGAGTTTCCCCCGGGGAACGTGATCATAGTTAGTGGAGGGAAAGGGTTAGGAAGGCCGATAAACACAAAAGAAGCAAACAAACAGGCTAAGATTTATGTTGAAAGGGCCTTGACACTAGCTCATCTTTTGTTTTATGCTCACTGACTTTATACTAACTCACT